AAATTAAAATTGATCAGTATCAGAAGATATAAAGACAGGTATAAAAAATATAATATTAGAATGTGTATTAGTGATGTGTTTTTGAAAGTTGAATTGTTTATTATATTATTATGAAAAATAATATATATTTTATATATCATTCGTTTTTTTAATTTTTATTTCTATATTTATTTACGTGTACCATTTATTTACGAGTGGTATTAACCGTTTTAATAATTTTGTTTTTACTTTATTATTTTATTATTCGAAAATAATATGTTATAATTGAAAAATAGAATTTTATATTATTTTGTTCTTCATGTGTTGTGCGATCAAAGCGAGTGTTACCATTAACTTTTAAATATTTGTTTTGCAACCCATGAAAAAATGTAAAATGACGCCTTTGATAGGTTGTAATTATAGTTATATTTACTTACTTACTTAATTCTTGAAGTTTGATGAGAGCTGATATTTTATTACTCACAAGTCACAAAGAAATGAAATCAATATCATTTTAATAGTTTGTCAAATGAAGTTAACCAAATTATTGGTTATTGGGTAATCAATATTATCAAAGTATAAAATTCTATATATTTCTATATATTATTATTTTTTAAGTGCTAATGGTAATTAGTGGTACAGAATGTATGGTTTAAATAAAACTTAATCAAATTTTATTACAACGATTATAATAATATAATTGTTGATCATTATACACTTACTTGTAATTTATTTAATTTCTTAACTAATATTGTACCCAAGATTTTAGTACTTCATTTTTATAGGAATTTTGATAATATGATATATTGAATGTGTACGATTTTAGAATGTAAAAGTTTGGTCATTACCATTAGTGAACGTTAACCATCTTATATATTAATTATTATGGACATCATAAATTCATATCCCAGGTTTAAAGAAATCTAAGATTGTGTAGATGTTTTTCAGAAAATGTTCATATGCATACTTTATTAAATTATCATAAGAGATTTTGTGTTTCATAGATTAACTCGATTGCCTACAGAAATGGTTTGAATATTATATTATAACTAATCTGTACATATTACAATATAATTATTAATGTACCTAAGATTATCGTGGAATAAATATTATAATAATACAAATCAAGTATAAATAGTAGTAATAATAATAATACATATATCTAGTATTACGTATCTACTCGAGATAAGTATTTGATGTGCGCCTATACGTAATGATTTTATCTCGGTACGTATCTAACAAAAAATCGATAAACCAACAACCATAAACCAAAGTAAAAATCCCAAATATGACACAAATGAATTTGATAAACATAATGGAGAGGAAGGGGTGGGTAAAAGTCAACGATCACACCAGTGTAGTTTTGCGTTGAAAACTGATATCAATGTAACATAATAATTTATAAAACCTCTAAAAATGTTCAATATCAATATAATTAGTTATGGTCACATGGAAAAATTAATAACTGATTTTAAGGATTTGTTTCAATTTGACATTATCCAATATATAATATTAGCTGTAAGTCATTAAATATTACCCACATTAAATATTACGACGGTAATTCGAACAAGAATTCTGGTACATAAGTTTATGGAAAAAAAAAATGAATTTCTCGTTACTCGCAGGATTTAAAAAGCACGTCATAATATCCTAATAAACCGATAAAACAAAATTAAATGTATTTTTAGAATCTCTGAGTTATAATCACTGTATGTCTACCATATATACTTAGGTAGGTAATAAAAATATGATAAAACGTCGAAAAAAAAATATTGTCCCGTTTATTATTATTATTATTATCATAACGTATTATACGGAAATAAAATAATAAACGGACATCGCGTAAATCGAAACGGTCGGTATTATTATTGTTCGAGAAAAAAAAATAAAAAAATATATATCCATATATTATATATATATTTTCGTTTTATTCGTTCCGAATACCTATACGAAAAACGTAAACACAATTAATACGCCCGGCGACGTTGCTTGGCAACGGAACAGTTGTTTAGTTCGCCTCTCTTTTTTATATACTTTCAAAACGTTCTCTCAATATAGGTGACCCCCGATGAACATAAAGAATCCCTTCAATACAATAGACGCGATGGGGGAAAATTAACTAGTCTTTCGCTGAGGGGGATATCGTCCCATTTCCGAGTGTGTCTATATCGAATAGCCTATCTGTGTAGGCTAGACAATAATTCAATTTCGGTTTCATGCGAGTAGACAAGAGTGAATTTAAACCGTGACAAAATAGACATTTTTCTAAGACGATTGTAGTTATCACTTAAAAGAGTGCCTAAACCAGTAGCGTGATTACGATGTAGTTTTGGAGGTATCTACTATCCATTTACCATACCCAGAGACGCACAACTCTATAATTTGTCTCGTGTAAGTAAAATAACATCGTATTTGATGCCTAAATATAAAAAGCCGGGTAACTTCGCACGATGGGTAGGCCACTGTTGTAGGTGGGTAGTTGGGAAGGTAGGATTTATATGGACATTTAACGTATATCAGTAAACAACGATTAACCTGCTAACGAAAAAACGTTTCTGAGCGGAGTTCAGTTGATAGTATTAATTTGTCAACAATTTATGTCATATTATGGTAAAATAATTATATATAAAATTAAAAATTCTCATTAATAATAATACAAAGGATATTAATATTTCATTAATTTTGTACCTTCCGATTTGCTCGTGTTTTTTCCGGTTTTTACCATTTATTAGAAAAAATCTAATCTAGGGAAATTAAAAAAATAACCTCTTTAAAGTACCTCCTCAGTCAGATAAATTTTTAGAAAAAATACTACACTTGTAAATCGGAGCAATATTTCTGTTAGAAATGTTGATCACAGATAAAACAAAAAACCATAAACTTTTTCGCTCCACTAAGAATTTTATTACTTACAGTGGTTAATTAAATTTTCAATATTACCCATTATACCAATTAAAGATATTTTGGCGACTAAATCATATCATGATTTAAGGTATATTATATCTCGGTATATCTTAAATCTTCGATATTTTAAGTTTTGAACCACAGAAACAGAAATTAGTTGTAAGGAGCAAGTTTACGGATGGTCATAGGTTTCGATGAATTGTTATGATAAACACAATTAGGTTTTTTTAATTGTTTAGCCACCAGGCAACTATGTCAATAGATATTTATGTGACTCAGATTTGATTTATACTCAGATGTCGGGTCGCTAATAAGTGACAATTTTCTGGAGAATCATCCGTTTAGTGTAACAAATTGCTAACCGACGGATCGTTGTATAGCCATTGTAATTAAATATGGCGAGAACAACTTAAAGGTACAAAGAACGGTTTATTCTGATTGACTGCCAGGAAATGTGTGAAATGAGATTGTGTTTGAGTTAGTCAAAGGCAATTTATTGTGTATAAAAGGGGTAAAGAAAAAATAAATAATACGTTACATGTATAATAGAGAACAAGATGACAATAAGTATAACTACCAAGTTTAATGAAATATAGATCAATCAAATACAGCAACTCGCCTATGGTATCTGCAACTGCTATATAGGTTTGGAAAAAGTATAGGTAAATAGAATCGAAGGTGAGCAAAAATAGTATGCGTCTGCTGAGTATGCCTAGAGAAGTAAAGATTCGATGAAAAAGATTTACGTGTCTGGCGTTTTATGCAATATGTGGTCCCCACCTTGGTGGCTCCCATATGATCATTGCAGTGGCTACAGGGGATGCCAGTGCGTGAACAATTAATTATTTGTGAAATAATTTATGGCATACTTAAGTGGTAATACTAATATTTTTTGCGAAGAAACTAGTAATTGTACCTAATACGTCACTTTGCTTGTTTATTTTATAAATATTGAATATTAATGTATTATAATACTTTCTACCGTAGGTAGGCAAATGTTATACATGCGAGAAGTTTGGAATGTATATAGAATAAAGAGTTATTTTGTTTTTTATTATAATTTATTTAAAATAAACAAAATAAAATATATTTTACAGCCAGAATATACCAGAAGTCAAAATAACAAAATTATATATTAATATTTGTAATTAGTTTTTAATTTAAAAAAAAAATCGGGGAACCTAGACGAATGTTTTAAATAAAATACTACCAGACGGTAAATCTGCTACTTATTAGGCATGACCTAAAAATATTGCTGTACTTTGAGGTCATGGCTGTTACTCACCGAAAAAGTATTTCCTGAGAATAAAAATAGAAATCTTTTTTTGTTTATGGGAAAAATATTTTGTCTGCATAGTGAGGATATCAACACAGGTATTTTGAATTTAGAGGTTAGAAGGCGCAGGTATCCAGCATATGATAAGATATAAAGCTTATGACTAGAACGCAGATTTTGTATGTTTTTGCATATTTTTTTTCTTAACATATTTTTAATTTTTTGTTTACAATATTTACGAATTATACTTATAAGAAATTATTTACAATATTTTATTTTGTAGATTTATTTCTTAATTAAATATTTATTGCACGTGTGAATACTCTTTGCATTCGGCTTACAACGCGGCAACCAGGTTTATAGATAATGCTAGTGTAGTAAGAATTGTATTTTCTCCACCGTCCTTTCTAAGCATATAGACAACTGTTTCACGGAGGTGAACGAGTTAGACATCGGCACCATGACCACGTCCGTTCTGCATTCGCAACCGGTCAACAAGATGTGTATATCCGTCTACGTACCGAAATATTATACATACTTTTTTGAAGAAATAAACACAGACTATAGCTCGCCTTCGATTTCTGCAACTACTGTATAAAAAAAAAGGTATGGTTGGAGTGAGTAAGCAAAATTGTCTGCTTCTGCTGGGCCAATCCATAGAAGTCATTTAATTAGTGTGTATGGCGTATTTAAGCCTTCCACGGTCTCCCGCACCGACGATTCCCACTTCGCCACGGTAGCTATGTGGGCGCGTAATTAATATTTTGAATTAATATGTGCCGTATTAAGGTTGCAACACTGTTTAAGAGATGTTTATGATGTAAGTGGTAATTATGCTGTGTTATTTTATATATTGTATATTGCTGTATTATATAATTTATTATACAAATATTAAATATTCAATATATTACACTATAATATTATTCGATTTGCGTTGTCGATTCTAAAAAAAACAAATTTAAAAATTAAATTTAAACAAAATTTAAATTAGTTACAAAGATTTGTGTTCGTAAATAAAAACCGTACAAAAATAACAATATTGATAATTGATACAATATTAGTTTACAAATTACTTGAGTGCTATAATGAATTTGATTATTTTAATGACCAACTTGCGTACTTGCGGAGGCTATGAAGATGATTGTTCTATCATTAATTAATTTTTGTAGGTATTTGGTTCCTATATTATGTTTAAAGTTACAAATTATTTATTTTTCTTTCTTGAATTGTTTCATTATCTTTTCGATATGATAAGAATTGCATACATATAATATAATAATATGATGATATTATTACCTATATTTGGTACATTATATTTTGTTTCAACTCCCAGGGCACGCACAGGATTCTTTTTTTGGTTAAGGGGGAGTTTGGGGGAGGGGGTTCAGAGATATTAAATTAATAATTAAAACAAATTAATTTGAACTTAAATATTGGGATGTTGTCGATATTGAAACAAATAAATGTATAAATCATTCATAGTAATTGAACTCTATAGTCCCATACTTTCCTCAAGTGGGCCTTTTGTTAACCTTCCTGCCCTATAGAGTTAAGTCAGATACGGTACTGTAGTGACCTCTCCCCCCTTTGTTGACCGACATCTGTAAAATTCACCAGTACCGGTCTTATTATATAATGGTTGTCGTCGTATAGTCGAGCGATTAACTTTATGAATTAGTAAATTCTGTGGTACCCATTTGCATTCATTCGGTCGGACTATATTTTCAATTTAAACGGATGACAAAGACGAGGGTAGTAGATGGATAATCCTATAGGTGTTACGATTCATTTTGGGCACAGTAACAGCCGTTATAATATTACTCAATTTTTTTTTCTTAATCAAATTCGTATACTTACTCCGTTTCTCGGCATTCGCGCCGAGTGTGACCTTATGGGCTGGATGTTATTGATTGTGTTAAATTTAGATGTTCGAAACCTGTATAGTTGTAGTAGAATGCTTGTTATAAACTCGTTGGTCTAATTTCGGTATTATAAGATATTTGTGCAAATAGGTTTTTCGGAATAAATAATAACTTTGCCTGTTTTAATTACCTTTTAGAGCGAAAAGTTTTCTTAACAATTGATCTACCTTAGGCATAAAAGCTAAGTACATCAAACATAAAAATGACCTCGCTTTAATTTAGGTGTAGGATGCCTATCTGGTTTCAACAGACGTCATTTAAAATGCACGCTCGCGCGCGTGTATGTGTGTTTATCTGACTCGTCGTGCTAATAAATTAATTATAATAATAACAAAAATTAAATCATTTATTTTCAACTACGGAATTTACAACCTATGCTTTTTCTATTTACATTAAGCGTGCTCACTTAATTTCAATAATATCATTTTTATATAACTTTTCCAAACGTTTTTCAAGCACTCTTATTGTTTTAAATAGTTTTATTTTCTTTTGAAATGTTATCATTGTTCAGTATTATTGAAATGTTGTTATCTACACGTTTATTTCATAGACATTATTTTCAATCAGTAGCGTATATTTTAATATGATGGGGAATCTGGATAGTATAACTAGTTATAGGTACACAATTACTGAAAATATTGTCAGATAAACATTTAAAGGCTTAGTGCAACAAGATAATTACACTTTATGAAATTATTTAGGAAAAAGAAAAACTATTTATCTATAGAATTTGTTTTCTTTTTTGCTCAGAATGGTTTTTGAACCAGACAAGTTCTTATCAATATGTTCTCCTTATCTAGTAGACAGAATTACATTATTATTGCACCAAATTTTATAGCATTTATTGCTTTACTAAAAACTATTAAAAAGTGATTTTGAACTAGTCTTGTCACTACCCTTCTATGGGTATACTTAGTATACTTAGTATTTATTCTTTCGATTAAGGAGGGAGGATGACACTCTCATCCCTCCCCCGTGAACACGTCCGTGTTTTAAATATACTATTACTGTCTGTACTCGTACTCGTATAAAAAATATTGTATACAAATTCAATATTTAAATTTCTACTCAGTATATTTTTGTAACTTAACTCAAGAGTACTCAATATTTTTTCTGGTACAAATAAGTTGCACTAATTTTTTGGTGTTCGGCATATATTAATATAAACGCATGATTGTACATATAACATAAAACTCTCTAAACAAAAAAACAAAATAAAACAAATATATAAACCTTTTTAATTATATTCCGATGGCAGTTGCAACGTTGTCGTTTAAGATGCGGTTTATTTTTGAAAACGATATTATAATAATTTATTTATTAAAAACCGTTATTGTATTTTTTAATACACGCGCGCCTGTACAAAACAAAGACCGTCGAATCCAAAAGCAATCAATTTGGGTTAATTAAATACGTCGTGTGCGCGCAATATATTATTAGGTTTAGCTTTTATTTGATTACAACATAATGTATCGATATGGGCTGCAATCGATGGCTTTTACTTGTAATCGAGTGCTTAAACAAGGCGACGACAATTAATAAAATAATATATTTATATACAATATCTTATTGAATTTACGTTAATTTTTTTTTCGATGGTGAAATCAAAGAGTTTTACAATGTTCACTATACACAATTCGAAGGGGTAATTATTATTTACGTTAAAATAATACCCCATTCATTTTGGCTAAAAACAACACCGACCAATTCGTATATTTTCCGTTAACATTAAAAATAAAATGACATACCTATTCAAACCCGTAAGTATAAGCTCCGTATTTAAGATCTCCAGTAGAACCACATGCCTGATTGTTTGTAGTGGTGTGTGAGGTATGTCTTATAGCAAATGGGATTATTAATCAAATTATTATCAATATTTATTCAAAAATAGTAGTTATATTTCTAAAAATGAGTGAGGTAGATACATTTTATATCATTGTATACTTTAAACACTACGGTCAGAATTTAAAATATTAATTGTATAATAAATTTCAGTCCGGTCCGATGCATAATTAATAGGTAAATTATAAACATAAAATTGAACTTGGATACAAAGATGGAAAACCAATTAGAGTTACTAAGTTCTATTGATGATACTTACAGGGAAGAATAGCTTATGTCAAAGTTCAATAAAAATTACATTTTGAAATTTGCTCAATTACATAATGACATCACTGTTAAATGACCTAACCTAAATATGACATTATGGATTGCTTAGTCATAAAATTATATGCCATGTTTAGCTTATGGTATTTTAATATTCAGTTTAACATATGGTTATAATGAACATATCCTAAGTCATTTAGGCCAAAAAAGTTAAGGAAAACAAATTATAAGACAATATTAAAAAAAAAAAGACAAACTTGACTTAAACCCATCTTACCATTGCCAAAGGTATATTTCTTGCTTGAATTTGAGAAGATATTATTATTTTTTTGCAACTTTGAGATGAAACTAATAAAAATGTTGAATTATTGAATTACATTATAAAAACTATAGGTTTATATTATTCTTATAAGGTAAATTAAATTGATATTAGTTTGTTTATGCTGCGTTAATTTTAATTTTAAATTAAAACATAATGATTCTCAAATAATCTCTTGGAGGTGTCGATTTACAATATAATATAACGTACAATTTTTTGAAAAAATGACAAAAATATTAAAATTTACATGATTTTTTTTAAAAAATTTGGTTTAATTAACGTAATTAAGTAAAAAATTTGCTGCTCCAATAGCAGGTGCGTTAGTAAACGCCTTTAGATAGAAAACACCTGTAGTGCTGAAAAAAAATAAAGATATTTAATTAATAGATTCATATAATTAACACGTAACGAATAATACAATTTCGATTGTTTTCCATAAAAACTATTGACAAGTTGTGTTATTATATGCATATTAATTGCAATTTTCAATAAAAGTAAAATGTATAATGTCACAATATTCGCGTTTAAATTTAAGTTTTTCGATTAAATTCGTCAATATCATAAACAAATCAAAACTAATTTAAATGTAGAAGTAAAAAATTAATTGCACTTGGTTTTCCGTAAATTTTTTCTAATAATATATTAACTACAAAAATACATTACTTTTGTAGGCAATTTGAATATTGATATAAATAGTATTGACATTTAAATACGATAGGTCTGTATTCTTATAATTGTTTATTGTAACAAAAGAAAGGGGCTTATTCTATGAATTAGGTCTGTGTATAATTATATTTTGACATTAGTATGCTCATGCACATTAGTGTACTATTTTTCGTTGATGACGCGTGAAAGAACATTTTAAACAATACATGGCATCATAATATAAAGTAAACAAAAATGTGAGGATACTCCTTATGATAAACTTTTGTTTATAAGCGTTGGCTATAGTTGAATTTAGAACCCAATATACACCAAGCCAATCGTTTCCATACTTTACGTAACTGATTGTATATCATATTTAATAAAATGTGGTTATATTCTTACTTGGGATTTGCATCCTCGCCCATAAAATTTGTAGGATTATTTGTGCATAGGCCATTGGTGTATTCTTCGGCTGAAGAACACTGCACAGCTTTAAACGATGTACTCTTATATATAGAATCTACAAAATATTGTGGTGCCCTCACATGACTACAAAGGACTGTGAACATAGACAAACGATTATAATAATATTGAACAAGGATAGGCTAATTAATGGATAATATTAACTCTTTAAAATTAAGTTGATCGAAAAAGAATTTATACGTGAATAGGTACGTGAAAAGTTAATTGTTGAATGGAATAACTAAATTAAGTTAAAAATTAGTTTGAAAATTGTAATGACTTTTTAAAATAACTTCATTTTTTTTTTTACAATTAATGTAATTGTGACAGTAAGAAAGACGGACATACTTCGTCGTGGGTGCAGCAACTGCTGCAGGTGGGAAGTTAGGAAGGTAGCATACATACTGGTATTTAATGTATATCTGTAAGCAACGATAAATCATTGCTAACGAAAAAACGATTTCCAACGGAGTTTAATTGGTAGTGATGCTTTGTCAAAAATATATATGTCATATTATAGTAAAATAATTACATATGTATCAAATATTTTCTTCAATAATATTTGTTTAGTATTGTAAGTATCTATTTTTACGTTCTCCCGTTCTCTTAGGGGCATTCGCTCCCTAAGTCGCGTAATATTCTTGTTTGTCATACGAAATATTCATAATTCTTAAGTTGAAATACAACTAGTTCCAAATGCCATAAAGATGATTCTGGATCTTACTTTAATTGAAACAAAAATGAAACAATTCTCATTTATATATTTCAATAAATATTCTCTGCGAGGTGAGATCGAATTATGGAAAACTAAGTGGGAACAATCAATTTGAAAAGATATAATAAAAAAATATATTTTTAGGATTAAAATTGGATATGATTAATTTAATTTAAATTTTAGATTCTTGGTGTAGCGAAGAATATACCTATTGGATTTACAATGATTTTTTATACTGTGACAAAAATTTCCACCAGAAATCTTGCTTGTGTAGGACTTTTTTTGAAAGAAAATATTTTCATATTAACTAAATGATACTTTAGAAAGGTCATGTTTTGATTTTCCAAGCAGTTTTTATAATTCAGTCAAACTTGGTTAACTCGAAGTTGAAGGGACCGGAAAAATAGTTTGAGTTTTCCAAATAAAAAAATGTTTAAAACAGTACAAAATATATTGATTTTTTTGTCACGTGTCTGTTTAAAGCATTTGTAAATACAATCATCAACATTAAGATTTTCTGGTTCTCTAGCCCTTTTCTGCTCTTTTTACTGGACGTAGCCAACTTCTTTAAAATTGTTTCTTTATTTTTAAGTTGACAAAGTGTGAAGTGGAATACCAAATTCTTTAGCTATCAAAGATTTTGTTTTCAATCCATTTTCAACTCCCCGTATAGCTGACGCTTTTTCCTTGAATGTTAGCGTTTTTAGCACGCATTTTGATGACGACATTATGAACGAAAAATTACGTACGTCACATTGAAAAGAACACAAAGCACTGAACACTGAAGTCATACCTTGTCGTGTAATCAACTAGTTAGATAAACCACTTATCGCTAACGATACCACTAATGACCTTATTTTCGATATTAAAATATATACATAGGTACATGAGGGAAATTTCACAATTTTATAATATTCACAAAACTCAAAACTTCAAGTTATCCGCAAAAATATTCGAGTTAAACAAGATTTGTTCACATTGTTTAAATAGGAAATTCTAGGGCCCGGAGAAAAAGTTCGAGGTATAGACAATTTCGAGTTAAAGAAGCCAAAATAACCAAGTTCGACTGTTTCAGGAAAACCTAGGATAAAACATAAAAAGACGGGAAAATTTACGAAAGTAATGTTTTTATTATTTTTAATTTTGTTTTTTGTTGTAGTAAAAGTCTTCGTAGATACTTGATATTTGGACAGAAATATTATATTTGCCTTATCTTGATGTTGTACAATTTCTGAGCAATTTATAGACATTTTAATTTTTCGAATTTTGTACGCAATTTTTAATCGGTAGGTACTCTGTGGATAACATTGTTAAACCAAATAGACATGTATGAGAATTTAACATGAAGTTAATTTAAAGTCGTAATTGTGGCAAAAAAAAATGTTGAGCAGAGGCTATCTGGCTTATCATTTTTAAATATTCATCCAAATGAAAACATTAATATAAAAAATATTGTTGATCAAACCGCTTGCGAAATGCTGCTTAAAATAAATGTGTTTTGAATTCGGTCATCTAACTTTTATTAATTATTGTTATTATTATTTTTGTTATTCATATTATCATTATTTTAATTATTATTTATAATATATGAAAAAAATTAATTTAAATATTAAATTGTATTGTTTTATTGCATTTGTACAATATATCTGCAGTATTCTTATCTAGATTGATATGTCATCAGACATAAAGGTTTTAAGTTTTTGTTGACCAAAACTGTGGTATTCAAGAGTAAAAATTGTTCGCTCCTCACGGAATTGACCCGAAGACGCCTCTGAACAATACTTTTAACCGAGTTCCGCTCAGAATCGTATTTTGTTAGCAATGCTTAAATCTGCTTAACTACTGATATACCGGGTGATACATTTAAGTATGTACACTTATTATCTTGGAAAGTATTAACTTTTTTCTAGAACATTTAAGAAACGAGCTGCTCTAAAGTTTTATATTTATGTTATTTTTTGTCACCCTTATTTTTGGAGGTAAAACCACTACCAACTTTTGATTTTAAAGGGCAATTTATATTAAAAAGTCCATAAATAGATTGAGTATTAGTTAAAACACATTTTAGTGGTAAAATTTTTAATTTCCGTCGATCCGTTGACGAGATATTCCACTTTTATGTTTTGATTTTGGTGATACAAATGTTACTCCGCTACTCTTCTCTGATTCAAAATTAAAAGGGGAATATTTCGTCAATAGATCGACGAAAATTAAAAATGTCACCACTAAAATATATTTTCTAATAAATGTTTTAGAAATCAAATTCTGAAAAAGTTAATACTTTCCGAGATAATGAGTGTACCCACTTTAATGGATCACCCGGTTCATTAAATTTTCCTCAATATTCTACCTTCCCAACTTCTCATCTATAACAGTAGTCCGCCAATCGTGTGAAGTATGTCCATCTATTTTTCTTATCAATATTAAATTTAATTGTTTTGCATCCCTCTTCTCCATAGTTAAGCTCTGGAGATGCCCCTGTTTGTATACTTGATGGTGCTATGAAACAAATTAGTCCACTAAGAATGTAAATTTTATTAAAATATTAAATATTCTCGGGATTTCGTTAAATTTTACGGAGACATCATAATTTAATTTCTTTATATTCATAAGTAATAATGACTTTATAGTTAATTGTTGTTCTGGTTTTATTGTTTTTGTTACGGTATGTCAACAGTTAGCACATATAAGCTCATTTTCTTCATATGAACTTTTTTAAAATATCAAACATAAAATTTAAATTTTCAGTAGGCAAATGTGCACTGATTATACAATGCGATGTTTTTTCATCATAGTTCCATTTTTTTTCCTCTTCAGGGGATGAATAGTCTTGAAATAGTTGTTTAAATAAGTTGTATGCTGTACATGATGCATCTAAAACTATGATACTTCCAAAAGTCTTGGGTATCTTATAGTCTGCCATTACGTTTTTCAAAATATTAGCTCTTTTTCTATATGTCTGTGTGTTAATACCTTCTCTTATTGAACTTTTTATTAATCCAAAGAACAAATAATTATTATTTAAATTAATCCATGTTAAATATGACGTACTATCAACATATGATGTACACAAATAATGTGAAGGATGTTGTCAAATGTACATATATTTGTAAGGTTGTCCGTCGATAAAAATATTTTTTAAATCAGTTAAGTTTCCATTTCTTAAAATTCCTATGACTTTACTATTTTTACGACTAGAGTCATAGTAGAATAAAATAGTTGGGTCTTTAACTAAATATGTTCCATTTTTCTTTTTTTCGCCTAAATCATATTCTAAACTTTTTTTATTTTCCACGACAGCTTAATCGTCATAAATGAATCAGAAATAAATTTGTTTTTCAGTTTATTTTATTATTATCTTCCCATGTTAAACATATAATATAATATATAGGTACCTTATATACATACATTAAACTCGTAAGACATTATTCGTAATATTATACATATTACACATATTTTTAATAGATATTATAGTATAAAAATGTATATCTCAGGAACAGCGAAAGTACAAACAACCACAAACAAAGTAAAAAATAATGACTCATTTAGAATTTCAAAACGTTGAGGTGGGGAGCTGAGGACATGTAGCTGAGAAAAAGTGGGTATGAATGAAAAGTTAAAAGTTAAATTGATAAAAAAATAAAATACTCAAATCTAAGTTAATATCTTATAGCCTTTATACTAAAACGCTCTATTTTGCAATTAAGACAATTTCAATGTTGATTATACCGACAAAGTAAATAAAAATGAATGCTCATATTTTGTGGATTTTATTGCTTTCAAACAAAATACTTACCGAGACTTAGAAAGTCGACCGGCAAAAATGCTTCCATACATCCTGGTTGAGGGGTTATTCCTCCGTTCGGATAAAAATCGACGTGCCCTATTGGTTCGACGTAACCGAATGTCCCCGCTGACGAATGTATCACGTCCACGAACTGTGCGTCCGTACTGTTCAAATGCTTCGGTTGCACTACCAGAAACTCGAATCCATAGGCAGCCGGGTCCATACCTTTATGTTATAAATGTTATAGCAATATAATTGAACACGAAATACAATTTTAATTATTATTGTTTTGTTCGTTATATTTCGTTTCACGCGCCCTGTCACCTGTAATTCTACCAATTTTTCCGTCTAACGCGTCACCAGCAGCTGCGAAAATATGAGCACCGAAACTGTGACCGATCAGGTGTATTTCGCGAAATGAAATTAATTTATATTCAACACATTTTTTTAAGAATTCTGCAACCAAATGTCCAATGTGAGAGGTTAAATAAGCTGGTATCGGATAAATGATATTCTTTGACACGTGACTCCAGTCGAAGGTGATTACGTTATAACTTCCCGTATCAATATAACCTGAATGTTTTTGTGAAAAATAAATACATAAGTACCTTATAAGATATGCTTTTACAATTTAACTGGAATAAAAACTCACTCGATTTAATACTTGTCACTTCCACATCATTGGCCGACCTAATAAATCCGTGCGTTATCATTTTCAACGGGCTGCCCCGAATCCAATAGTCGACGAGTTTTTTTTCGTCACCGAACTCGATATTTATCGATGTATTCCTACCGAGTTTGCTAAAATAATAATAATATTATGAATTTGAACAGTCTCAATTTATTATTGTGCTTTATAATTTTAACCGTTGACGCAAGATAATAATATTTCAACATTTTCAAAATTCGAGTAATATGTCTGTAACACTTACGTGTTCCAATAGATGAATCCTAAGCTCTGGCCGTTAACTAAAAACCGATCTATTATCGTGTCGTCTAGTCCTCCGACGATCGATTTGGTTTGCGCATCGTTGTTTGTTAGGGGAGCAATATCGACCTGGTTATTCGTAGATCTTTTCCATCTCAGTTCTCGGCCTAATAACATGCAATAAATTATAAAGTTCATTCTCAGACCGCGTCTTCGAAATAAAAATACGAACGGGTATTTTATAATGAACGACGGTTTGCACTAATAGACTAATACAGTTATAATCGTAAAAAATTGCCTTAGGGTAATGGTGAAGGGTGCAGCTACTATTAAAGGTAATTTAATGTATACCTGTAAGCAACCATTACTTCATTACTTACGGAAAAATGATTTTAAGTTCAGTTAATAGTGTTGCTTTGTCAACAATATATATACGCCATATTATGGTGAAGTTTTAATTATTTAAATTCCAAAATTAAAATGGATTCCGTTTTTCCTTTTTTTTCTTTCGGTTTTTCACATTTGTTGAGAAAACTCCGGAGAAAATTGAAAAATGACCTCTTTATAATACATCTGCAGTTGTTTTCGTCATTCATTCCCTACTTACAGTGATTTGTCTATTTACTTACTGAACTACCCCTATATGACGTGAAAACAATTTTTGGCTACTATTATATTATAACAGTTATTGTTGTATTTTTATCTATAATGTTTGAAAATTGCATGAAATATTTTAGACTTCATTAGATTAATTATAATTTTGTTATTATTATTATATATGTACCATTGGTTGAGATGATCAGTAGCAATAATGACAAGACGATTACTGTAGTGGTACATTTTCCCATGGTAAGTATTGGTGTTGAACTCTGAACTTTTGATGTTATTCTCGATTGAATTAAATCGTTTTGTTCGTCTAAATCATGTTAAAATACAGGAAAACATTAATTTAAACAAAAATAACCCCACGTATCACATTATCATCTAGTTTAACTTTTATGTTGCTTGGTTCACTCAGAATCGAAAAACGAATTTCAATTCATCAACCCATCAGTCTGTAATAGGATTGGAAATGTTATCATTTATGGATAAATGATATAATTATATATGGTAGAGAAATGTTAGAAAACGTCTTTTGTACTAACATCGAATGGAAACTAGATTTTTTTTTTTAACGTACTAAAATTATTAATGATTTTATTTGACAAAAATTAAAGATGCTCGAAAATATCTTTCTTTTCTGATTACATGCACATCCCTTACACAGTTGACCATTTTGAAAAATCAAAAATATATTTTTAAATACACAAGATAATAAAACTTGTAGATAAAAGAAATTCAAATAATTAAGCCAGAATAATATAATTATTATTTAAAAAAATAAAATCTAAAAATTATAAATATTTTAAGTTGAAAATTATCCTAAACATACTAAAAGGTATAATGCAATTAATTTCTAGGTTTCTAAGCATAATTTTATAACACCTTGGGTACATATTCATAGTATCTGTTCATCCGTATAGTTCCTAGTATCTAGTTATTAATACATAGTGACGGTTGTTTATTTGGTTGTCAAGGAAATATTATATTATTTGTAACAATATTATTTTACGATAATTGATGAAAACATAAATTCGTAATATTATATTTTTAAATTTCTTTAATTACTTTTTAGTATTTATCTATCTTTAAAATACTTTATAAAACTTATAGTTCCAATAAATTAACGAATCAATAAAATATTTATGACACATTTTTTGTGCAACCGGGCATAATATTTAAAAAATAAGTACCTACTTTAAAAAGATACATATAGATTTACATTTAGTCGATAACAATAAACCACATGCTTAATATACCTGAAAGTCACGCGCAGCTATAATAATTATTGTGTAAATAAATAATATCTTTCTTTAGAAAGAAGATAATACCATAGCTATCTGTCACCATTAGACTACGAAAAACATAAAGTAAATATTTAGTTATTTTACTTAACATAAAATATCCGCCGAAATTCAAAACTTCAAAAACCTATAATTTCAAAATTTAGTCAGTGTGCTTAATTTTGACTACATCATCCTTCTTAAAACGGCAATATGCATATTATTTTCAAAACAAAAAAGAGCTGATACTGAGGACAAGTACAGCGATTGATGTGGGTGGGAATTCGGGAAAGTAGGATACATAAGGTTATTTTATTTATATCTGTAAGCAACGATAAACCATTGCTGCCAAAGACGATTCTGAGCGCAGTTCGGTACTACATAATTTGAAGTGCAGTTATTTTTTTTTCGATTTTCGTTTAAATTTGATTTCAAAACGCTTAATAAAAAAGAAGAACAATTTAAATCATTAAAAACAACATTAATAATTCAACAAAAAAGGTCTCTTGTTGTTTTTCAATTGGAGCCATATTTGTGCTAGAAAACGTGGTAGGTACTTATTTAAAATAATGAGATCGTGAAAAACTCGTAATTTTTATCCCGATTAATCGTTTTTATTTTAAATACCGTTTTGAAAATCAAAAAGTTACCTATGTATTTACCAAGAAGATAAAATTGAATTTCAGAAAAGGTGCTACACTTATACATTGGAGCAAGTTTTTTAGAATAAAAGTGTTCTACAGTATAAAAAAACATTTTTAAAACATGTTACAAAAAGTAACATTGTGAAAAGGAAAAAAAAGTCGTCCGATGATTTTGGAAATTTTACCACGTCTAGGTAAGTCCAATATAAGTATTGTTAACAAGTTTCAAGTCTTTACGTGTATTTATATTTGAATTAAAGCAAAAAAACTTCCAAAAAAATATTCTTTAAAAGCTTAAAATAGGAAATAAAATAAAAAGACAACAAAAAAATGTTTCTTATGATTTTTCGAATAAATACGAAAACGTAGAAAACGTCACCCGTGTTTTTATAAAAAAATAAAATCGTGAAATTGTACGTTTTCTTACGTTTTTCCTCACTTATGTGCTTTTATTAAAAAATGGCATTGATATCAAAAAATCACAACTGAAGCTTTCAGAATAGGTGCTACAATTATTCATCGGAGCAGGTTTACTAGGAAAAAACGTGTCCACAGACTAGAAAAAAGAAAGAAAGAAAGAAAGAAAAAAATTAACATCTTAATAAAACTACTACCTCCCTCGCTACGCTCGGAATCCAAAATTAGATTTGTTACACATAATTGTTTGTTCGATGATTCGATTATTTTACGATTTTCATCAAAATTTGAATTTAAAATTAATTTATAAGAAAAAACACTACACCATACTCATTACATCATATAAATTTTCATTTTTGACCACAAAGTTGACTATTAATGAATTTCCTGTTAAATTGTTAATTATTTCTGTTAAGTCTAACAATTTTACCACAACGTACCTACCGAATAAAAATTACGTACAAAACTCTCGAAATTACAATGTCTATAAAAAGCTTAAAAATGGCTTAAATTGTTTTTAAATTTTAGCATATTTACAAAAGACAAATAAAAGTTTTCTGTCCAAATTTTTAGTATCTATGCATTTTTTTAACTGAATTACAACAATTAATAAATTTAATAATTAGAAAAGCATTATTTTCATAAATTTTCCGTTTTCTTACGTTTTTACCACTTTGTCTTTTTATTGGAGAAATTAAAAAATTACATTCGTTAAGTACCATTCCAAAAAAATTTATTTTCAGTAAAAAATCTTCATCGAATACATCGGATTTCTGGTAGAGTTATTGTACACAATATATATATATGAAAAAAAAATAAACATCTTTGTAAAACCATACATTTCTTGCTACATTCTAATAATCTAAAATAGGTACCTATGTACATAATATATTTATATATTAACATTGTAATTTGCACCTAATTACCTACCCCTAAAATATCAATGTATACACTAATAACTAACAAGTACACTTTGTACATTTTTGTATATGACTCTTTTCAAAATAAAATACAGTTTATCGCCCCCTCCCACAATAGGAAAAAGCTGAACACACCACTGCTATTGCCCAAATGTTATTTTTCCCAAATGGCACACTTCTCGATTGGTATATTTCTCGGCTGATACATTTCCCGAATAATATGTTTTCGAATATGGTAGACAAAAACAAATAAAGAGCAAATATTATGCATTTGTTTTGTATTTTTTATTAATTTTTGAATCTTAAATAATGATAAATTTAATAATAATAATTTGTATAAAAATATTTTTTTTTACTATTCTGGAAATATACCGTTCTAAAAAAACAATTGGGCAAAATCAATACTATTTGGGAAATATATCATTTGGGATAAATGACCTTCGGAAAATTTGATTCTGGAAAAAGGTCAAAAATCACTTTAATATATTCTAGGTAAATGAGCAAATAAAAAGACGAATATACTTTACACAATGGGTGAGCCACGGTTGTAGGTGATAAATTGGGAAGGTAGGATATAGAGAGGAATTTAATGTACATATGTACGCAACGAATGTTCGCTAACGAAAAACAATTCTGAGCGGAGTTCAGCTATATATGTTTAAAAGTCCGTATTATTTACGATTTTCGTCAAAATTTAATATTAAAATTCTTACGTATGTAAAAAAAAAATATTACATTAAACTTAACTTTTAATTGTTGACCACTAAATACAACTTATAATCTAATAATGAACCTCCTGTTAAATTGTCAAGTAGTCAACTATTTGGTCTAACAATTTTATCCACAGAGTACGTACCGAAGAAATATTACGTAAAAAACTCTTAAAATTAAAATGTTTAAAAGCTTAAAAATAGCTCAAATGTTTTGAAAATGTTCTGACATCATATAAAAGGCAAATATAAAATTTCTGACTAAATTTCAAATGTCTACGAATATTTTGCACTAAATTACAATAAAAAAACAAAATTGAAAATAATAAAAACATTATTTTCGTAAATATTTGTGATTTTTCTACGTTTTTCCCATTTATTGGGAAAATCAAAAATGACTTTCTTAAAGTACTACCTCAGGAACATTTCCTTTCAAAAAAGGTGCTATGCTTGATACTTCAGAGCAAGATTTCTAGTGTAATTTTTATATAGAGTATAAAAAAATTAAAAAACAGAATAAACATCTTTGTAAAACCAATACACATTCGCTACACTCAAAATCAAAAATGTAAATTTTAGTCAAATAATATACCTTACCTTCTCTAGTTACAAAACCAAATTTGTCCGTAAAATATACTTTTACCTTCTTCCAACAAACATTAGGAATAAAATTAATATTTTGTGAGCAAACGATAAACACTATAATAGCTTTTACGATAAACATTGAGCGTTGCGTTATCTTCACTAAAAGTGGTATTTAACGACATTAAAGAATGCTTTAATAAAATGTTTCAAATGATATACAAGAATAGCATTCTATAGTTCGTTCAACGAGAGAATAGCTAATTTCAGTTTTTATTTTCCGAGGTTTTCTAAGAGGTTTCTTTTTTTCTTTTCGGACATCTGTCTATTTTATCAAAAATAAAGGTAGCTCATCCGGGTAATCTTGGTGTCTCGATTGGCTGATCTACCCCTGAGTATAAATACCGAGAGAATTTTAAAAAAAATGTCTGTTATGACTATTCATGAATTAGGATTAATTTAGGTTTCTGACTATACAATAAAGAAACCAGAAATTTTGCTACTTTGTAAACTCATAGTGTTGCAAGTTTTTCTAAATGCGTAATATTATTAAATCGATATGATTTTATATGAATGTATTCAATATCAATGTTCAAATTAGCTGGCCGTTTCAGACGTCAATGGCCACATTTCCAAATTTATAGAGAAATCATGAAATTGATTATGAAATATTATTATAGAATAGATTCTGAGCTATATTACATAATATATTCAAAATTGGACTTGTCTAGATAAAGGTACAAGTCTTCGTCGGGAGTGCGAAATAATTAATGTTAGGTATTTGCTAGTTTTGCTAGTTAAGGCCGATAGCACTGGACTTATACTCTAGAAGTAGTCTAGACCAGTGGTTCTCAAATTGTTTTATGTGACGACACCCTAATTTAGACCCGTACAAATAACGACACACTTAAAAAAATTAATGAAATAAAAATGATACATTGACATTTGACACACACAACCAGTATATTATCTTTAATGACTGAAGACATGCTTATTTACGTATCCACACGTAAAACCATTTTCCTAATTTTTCTTACTTGTAAGTTTAACCACAACAAATAGTAATGTGGAGTATGTATGCTTTGAAAACGTACAGTATTAACTGTTAAGTATAAACAACCATAAATAAACAATTTTTTTAGTGACACACATCATAGTAATACGTAACACGCTAGTGTGTCACAACATTCTGGTTAAGAACTACTGGTCTAGACGTTTATTTACGACAATATTTTTAAAAAATCCCCGTTTTATGCTTCATTGAATTATTCTATTTTCCTAAATTTAATTAAAAAGGTTATCTGTAAGTATTTGCGAATTCGATTAATCTTCGTAATGTAATAATACATTATTATTGATGTCTACCTGTTGTTTTTTTCCCCTTATCATCATGGACTAAGATAATATTATGATGTACTGTAATTGAATAGTCCGAGAGAGTTGGAGAGAAAAGATATCAAATGTGGGGGCTATAATTTCTATAAATCTACTATATAATTCCCGGAAAGTTATATTCTGGATCATAGTAATCTAGAAAATAAAGTACTAGAACGTAATATTCTCGAAAATATAAATTCTCAAACTGTAAAATCCCGGAAATTAAAACCAAAATCTTTAATTTCCGGAAAATTAAAAATGACGGTGATTTCGAAATTAGTTAAACATTTTATTATGTAAACAAAAAATTCATGTTCCAATCAAAATATTAAGAGTTTTTTTTGTATCATTTTAGATTTAGTTAGTGACTGATGAGGTTTTTTCAATTTTAAAACTGATTTTCATAACTATTGGAAAAAATGTAAAACCCGTAGGAAAAAGTTAACAGCAATAACCATAGGCGTAATTTTTTACTTAGGGGGTTTGACAAATATATACTAAACAAAACCGTGGGGAGCCTCGTAGAACTATTAGGCTTACTTTCTTAATAGTCTATTAGACTATTCTTAATATTTGTTTTTGTAGAAACTATAGAAACTACATAACTTTTTTATTATTTATTATTTTATTTCTCATCTCAAAGAGGTAATGAGTACAGAATAATACTATATGAATATATAAGTCATAAATACATAAAACTACTAAAAACTATTTAAAACTATTGGAATACAATATTCCTTAACTCAATACGCGAATCAAACAAAAATCAAAGTTCAATATACTATTACCATGAACCAAAAATCGATACTCAGGACTATTAGCATATAAGTTGCTAGAGCAATGAGGAATAGAATAGGGAGGATTATTCCTTAAATTAAAAGAAAGTACCTTAAAATTAATTTTTTTAAAAACTCTAGATAAATTATTTGTCCAATAATTAGCTTATAAATAAAAGCAACATCATTAGACAAACATCTTGAAGCTAATGATTCTAAATCAAGTTCTTCAGCTAGAATGTTCAAACTCACATCAGTCTTACCCAATTTAAATGCCACAAACTTAACTTTTAGAAGTAGTAGTAGATTTATTTTTAATATTAAATATATTAAATAACTTTTTATTTTTCATTGTTAAGTGTTAAAAACTTTGAAGTATGTTTGAATGCACTTACTTTTCATATAAATATATGGCTTAACAAATTTGAATAGAATTATAAACGATAATCACGGATTAAATTAATGAAAATGGCAAAACAAAAAAATACAAATATATTCAGATATGAGATAAGCGCAATACATGGCTGGGTTAAAAGATCACATTCAACAAATTTATTAATATAAAAATAAAAATTAATATTTTTAGAAGTAGGTATATTGTAATATATGTGTACACATTTCAAATACTATATAAGATTATCGTTTGTTATTGGCATCGTGCGTTTAATAAGGAGTAGTCCTATATTATGAAGTACCTACATAATATTATAGTATATGCGATATTCCACTGGCAGATAACAATAATAAAACTTCTCTTAACGATAATTTATATTATATAACTAAATGGTCCCATACACGGAACGATGTGTTGTCAAACTCGTCATCAAACCGATCTGTCGATTTTTTGTCAAACATCGCTACTCCACTCACGAACCAATTTATCTATCAACTTATTTCTTATTTCTGTTTCACTTCGATGTACCATAGTTATTTACGGAGTGCAATGTACTAATGTTGTGTTTTTATTTCATGTTAAATTTAATTTCTTACGATTTTATACAATATCCAATTTATTACTGGGAAGGAAAAGAAAAGTTGCAGTTATGGCTGCTCTTGTTTTGCATATTACTTTAGATAATGATGATGATATCCAGTTATACAATTTTTATCGAATTTGAAAGTCATTGTCAAAATTTAAATAATTAAAAAAAAAATAAAATAAGTAGGTATGAGCATGGCTAAATATATAGGTACATATTATCTCAACTATGTCATACGCAGGTAAAATGGCCGTCACTGGCAGTATTCCCGTGTTATTTCAATCTAGCTGGTAATAAATATCATTGTCAGTTGAGTTTTTTCCCCATGAAAAGCTATGGAATAAACAGTTGTGACTATATCTATATATTCAGCTATGGGTATAGATAGGTACCACAGCTATAGATGCTATGGTTGTGAAAAACGGCACGAAGTGTTTTTATCAAATTTTACCAAAATCTGCTTACTGCAAGAGCTCCCAGTGGATTTATTAGTTTATTATTATTCGTTATCATCACTATCATACTATTAACATCCGCCGTGAGCGCTGGCAGTGGGCAAGTTTTTGACATTATTGATAAAAACATTAGATGTCACTTTTTCGAGGGTCGTTGGGCAACCATAATCAAATAAATACTAATCCGAACTCAGTCACTACTATAGTATACCGTATACGTATTACGCAAGCGCGTGATCGATATCAATAATATCATACACTTTCCAACAAGTTTGTCGATACGTCAACGGTAGGAGTGTTGAAGCTCCGTGAGCGTCAACAAGACGACACGACTACCAACGGGCCCGTATCAATACCAGTACACTTATCAATCTGCCTCTTCGACCACGTTTGACGATAAGTCTGCCGATTTATCGTTCTGTTTATGAGACCCTTTGCATGGCCGGTATTAGTTCTTATTATATATTTATATATAAATATAAAATAAAAATAAAAATTGTACACATTTACAATATAACATTTTTAAATGTCCGGGATTTTTGGAGGAATACGGCTATTTTAAGGGGGGTTTTCTATACCTGATTTGTACCTTTGGCAATTTACTATTTTGTTTTTTGTTGTAACTCTGTAAAAAAATATCGTACAGACCTAATATTTCCATAGAACCCCCTTACATTAATAATTTCCAGGCGTGATGAAATGTTGAAAATAATTTTTTTTTAGTTTTTATTTGATTTATGTGGATACAATTGTATAGATAAACAGAGATGTTAATAAATATTTTATTTAAGTTGTATTTGATGTATATTAACTAAAAAGTTGTGCATAATGAAGTACTTTTTTTAGAATTATATTAAGTTCTAATTTTGATAAAAATTATTTGATAAAATTCATGGCATTTAAGTACCATAGGTAGTTAGTTTTTATATAATTTTTTTTAAAAATTTTAGCATAGTAATTAAAAATTAGTTCTTTATTCAAAAAAATAACTATATTTTTCTATACTTAACATTCTAAATATTTGTTTAAGCTAAGTTAAAAATTATCAAAAAAGTAACTTATAGAACTTGCTTTTAATCTTTAAATTAGTTGTTAGTTATTATTTAGTGGTGTTAAGTATACTAGTGTATCGCATATTGCACATATTTACTGAAGTAATTGTTACAATTCTGGATCACCAATGGATTCAGTTTTCCCGACTAGATTTACAAAAAAACAAAAGAGTTAATACTGGAGACGGGTTGTAGGAGGGTAGTGGAGAAGGTAGATATATAAAGTTATTTAATTTATACCTGTAATCAACGATAAACCATTTACAATGAAAAACTATTTGGAGCGAAGTTCGGTTAAACATGTTTTAAAAGGCCGTAATATTTATAACTTTCGTCAAAACTTGGTTTTAAAACTCTAATAAAAAAAACCATAAATACAATATTACATTAAAATACATTTTTTTTTACCACTAAGTTTGACTTAAAACGAACCTCCTATCAAATTTGCAAGCATTTCTGTTAAATTAAATAATTTATCGACAGAATACTTATCAAATAAAAATTAAGTAAAAACTTGCAAAATTAATATATCTATAAATAGCTTAAAAATTGCTCAAATATTCTGAAAGTCCTGCTACGTTAAGAAAAAGTAAATATAAGTTGTTTATCAATATTTTAAGTCTCTATGAATATTTTAAACTGAATTAAATTAAAAATACAAAATTTAAAATAATAATACAATAATTATTATTTTTGTAAATTTTTCTGTTTTATGTAATTTTTCTGTTTTGCTCAATTATTATAAAACGAGAAAAAAAATTATTAAAAAGCCACTTTCTAGTTTACCAACTAGATTAAATATTCAACAAAAAAGATCTCCCTAGTGCACCAACGAGAAAAAATTATCTTTCAGAAAAGATATCTATATTTTGGAGCAAATTTTCTAGAAGAATTGTAAAATTGTAAAATTATTTTTGCTTACAATAAAGCAATATAGTTTGTCTGATATCATTCGATTTTTTTCCAAGTTGATTTGGCCGACTTAGGTATAATTTTTGAGGACAATCTGTCCTTTCGCTACTCAGTTTCACTCCCGCGTTTGTCCAACAATCCGACCTCACGGAGTTGCTTAAAAACAACGTTCGTTAATAATATTATTTCAAAGGTACCGGAGGGTATAACCATGTTCGGTTCGGTAACAAACGCGGTTTTCTCCTTTGATTCGAGAATGACAGTGTTGGGAAAGTCTAGAGTGAATGGGGTAAATAAAAGGGGGGGGGTACACATAGGGTAATACATTTGAAGTGTCTGGTGCCCGCGAAGACGTCACCCGGGGCGAGAGAACTATAAGCTCTTATATACATATATATATACACATTATTATATATAGTCAACATGGAGCAGCATTAGATAAGTACGCCCGGGGGTCTGCTTGTTTAGACGGCGGGTACGTAATCGAAACGCGCACAACCGTTTCATAATATGGTAATGTTATGCGGAAATTCTAAAAAAAAAAAATAAAAAAATATACGGGTAAAAAAATGCATAGCGACCACCAAATTTATTAGTTTTGAATATTTATAATACGAGTATATTATTTTTTGTTGGCGCGTTTTTGTCCTCAGATAATACTATAAGTACTTATGGGTAGATACCAGTATAATTTGCGTACAGACAGTTATAATTTACAAAATTAACTGAAGTATAATACATATAGTGTTTCTCGGAGTGAAGGAAGAATAATTCTCTAGGAAGTGTAAAAGAAAAACAACAAGACAAAATTGTTAGAAAAAGCACTGAAAAATACAATTATGTATACCATACAACCGAAAATCCCGTTGTACCCAGCCAGACGGTTAAAATAGGGTAAAATCGATTATTAATTAATTCGATTTAAGGACACAGGAATTTGGGGAACACAATATATGAAAACGATTCCTAGTACAAAAACTATATTTTAGTTCGATATTATAAAATATAGAAAAATATTTTCTTTGCAGGGTTCATCATTTTAGCCAAAACTCCCTATAATAATAAATTTATGTTTACAAAGAATATACTTTGGTTGATTGAGTGGTGTTTTAAATATGGACAAATTAAATTTTGAAAATACATACGCTTGTAGATAAACGCTACGCACACTAATTTTAAAAGTATCAACACTAAAAAATAATTCTATTTCCTGCTTATTAATTCACTAAATGTTTTTACTGATGAAAAAAAACCTGGACCTCATTATAATTTTAGATTTTACTATTGGATTAAAAAATGTCACCCGTATAAAAATAACGGCGATGTCGCTATTGGCTTAAGCTTGCGTCTTAAACCGGCCCCGAGTATTATGTACATAAAATACGACTAAAATAACGCACACAAGACGGTTTATTATACTGTATATTGTACAAAGGGCAAATAGCGAAACTAATAAAAAAAGAAGGAAAGTTTTTGCCGCACTCAAGTGCAAAATTATTACTAGGCAAGTACCTATATCGACGAACGACCGACTCGCACGATACGAAACGATGAATTTATACCCACCGGGGAAATTAACCGCCATCCCGTTGGCGTGCCCCTCTACAGTACAATACGGACATTTTACTTAAAACGAGTTTTGTAAAATACGATGATCGACCGGAACAAAAGTTTATTACGTTCCTAATAATTAATGGACTATAGGTTTGCTTATTATCGCGGCGAAATAATAGCATCATAGGTACGTAACGTATGGCCACCGTCACAGTCACGATGCGTGTAGTCGGGACGTAGGTTAAGTTCAGTGGAATTATCGTGGAACTCGTGTGATTCGTGGAATTATTGTACGATGCTCCGGAGTTTAATCACTGGAATATTATTTTTAGGTCAGTTTTCCGGGATTGAGAAATTAAATAATATACGAGTACATGTACGAGTAGATAATAATATCATAAAACAAATTTTATTTAAGACTTTGAGTAGAGCAATAAAACTATTCGTATTATTAAGATGTGTGGCTGTTTTTGTTTCTCGGAAAACGCTTTTTTGAATAGAAAAATTGTTCGTGGTTTATGATTAAAACTCTTTGAATATTAATTGGGTTGGTTCGATTAGATTATTGTTCAGTACAATTATAATTTAATTTAGAAACAAAATTGAGTTTTTGATTTTTCATATCTATTTGGTCAATAGTCTAATTAAAGTTTTTTATGGCTTATTCGAAGCCGTTTAGACCCATCGCTGCTTCCACTATGCCTCGCTAAGGTTCTCTATTCAATGCTAACATTTCTTCATCTCTGATTCCTAGGAGCTTCAGAAATTCTCTGATTCAGTCACTCTACCGCTGTCATGGTCGTCTTTATGGTCTTTTAAATTTTAAAATTTAAACACATCCTACATTATAATATCATTTTTATTTATTAGTATTTGGGTTTGGTATTAGCGATTGTCTATTCCCTTTATTATAAGATAATGTAATGCTATAAAATAATAAGATATTTTAAATTCAAAATTATAATATAATATATATATAGGTAAAATTACTTATTTGTCTTATAAAGTACTACAATACTCGTAAATTTAAACAATCATATAATATAGTTTTAAGTATAGAGTGGCATATATTATTATATATAAAATCAATTCTCAAGCCCACAAGAAATAGGGGCCCAAAAAGACAATATTATAAGTTGAATCAAATAATTGAGGTGCAACGTTTCCAATACTCTGCTAACTCGTTGCCAATTCAGTTTATTTACTATATGAATAAAATTGGTATGTGAACGTATAGAATACGAATACCTAGAGACTCTAGTGAATATAGTAAATTAACTGATAGGTAAAAATTATGTGTGAATTAATAAAAAATTATTTTGTGTTATATTTTATCAGGTATTATTGAAATAAAACCAATAGTAGTCAATTAAAAGCTATTATAAATGATAAATAATAATATAAAACGTTGGTATTAATAATCAGTCCCTGCAGAAAAAAAATGTAATACATTACCATCTATTTTAAATTGAGCGAATAGGTATTTATATTAGTTATATTACATGCGATTATTTTTTTGGATAACTTTACTGTTGGAATAGTAGTTATGGAAATAATGTCATAATTATGTTTATTAAACTATAGATACCTTGGTACATTAAAGGTTAGTTAATCAAAGGTTTTTACTAAAATAAGTTAATTTACAATTTTTTCACAAATTTCACGCTTGTGAACATTCATCGGCAACGTCGCATTAAATTTGGGTTGGTAAAACGTACACAATCGTAATTGTGAAAAGGTCTGTACACAATCGTAACGCACTCAAGAAAACATACAATTTCACGATTTCATTATTTTATAAAAACACGGACGAAGTTTTCTATCAGAAAAAATGATTTAATCGAAAAATCACATGATTCATATTTTGTTGCCTTTTTGATTTACTTTCATACGGTATCATCGCCAATTTTTTTGAGCCACTTTTGAGATTTGGGAATTTTATTTTTTTGGGAGTTTTTTTTTGCTTTAATTCAGTTATAAATATACGTAAAGACTTGAAACTTGATAATATTACTTATATTGGACTTACCTAGACATGGTGAAATTTCAAAACCATCGGACGACATTTTTTTTTTAATAAGCGTTTTGAAATTAACTTTAAACAAAAATTGCAAAAAAAAAATTACGGTACTTCAAATGATATACTACCGAACTGTGCTTGAAATCATCTTTCGTCAAGCAATGGTTTATCGTTACTTACAATAGTGGCCACTTCCGTCCTCAGTATCAGCTCTTTTTTTTTTAGTATTTATTTGATAGGAATACTATATGGATACAATTTTTAATCAAACAGAGATGTTATGACATCAAATCATCTGAGTCATCTGTATATTATATTATATAAAATCAATGGTTTTGGTAATATTCTTCGGCTTAATTTGTATATTATAATAACTATAAAACTACATCGTCTTTTGTAATACATCTTATGTTGTGAAAGAATTTATAACAATATTATCTAATTAGAAAACGTTAATATAATATTATAATACTGATGGTATTAAACTGTTATCGCGTTATTGGTTCGACGAAATGTACAAAGTGCCACACGGAGATCTAACAATTAATGCCTTAACTTTCGTACTGTTCTATACTTTTAAGTATTTCTTTTCTGTGATAAATAATAGTTACTAGAACCTTACGTTATTACTAGTATGGTTTATATTTTTTTCAAAAACTAAAAGTAAAAAATTTAAATTTCAAAAATAAATCCAATATAAATATTTTATACATTTATTACGAAACAAAATGTTGGTGTTACAAATGTTTACCAATGACGAGTAGTTAATTTATCTACAATTTTTTGAAATTTTCAAAAATTATAGAAAATTAACGACTCGCATTGGTAAACATAACAATATACAACACTAATATTTGTTTAAATAGTATAAATTTATGAAATTATACATTAGAACTTGTAAAAAAAAATATAAAATAGAGGTGAAATAACTTTTATAATTCAATCATTAATGTTTTTTTTTGCTTATTTGTTCCATTTTAATAGAATAGGGCGCCTTACTAATATGACTTTCCGGGCTTTCATACCCCTTTATTCGGGCCTTCATGGCACATTTTGGAATCGCTTACCTAGCTTATATTTGTAGCCATTTAAATAACTGTAAATTGTAATTAAATAATGCAAGTTAAAGATAAAAACATATTACTAATATCATTTTAGGAAAAAATGAAGAATTATTTTCCATATTTTCTTGTTGATGAATTAATATACTTTTTGTATTATTTTATTGTTTTGACAAAATAATTAAAAATTTAAATAATTCATAATATTCATTATGATAATTGCACAATAATTGTGCAATCACATCGTAATTATTACGTTTAAAATTACATTCATAAAATCAACAAAAAAAAAAAAAAATCAGTAATAGAAAGAATGACAAAATAGAACCAATTCCGTATCAGTTATAATTATAATAATAATTCTGAAAATAATGTCAATATTACAGAACCAAAATGAAATAAACTAAATAAATTCAATCTTAAATAATTACAACAAACCAGGCCAGAAAGTTTACGGAGACGGAAAAATATTGTGGTCGCTATACCTAAGAAACACATTCAATGCTTTAGCATAATTAAGAAAATCGACGAGAGGACATTTAGTGGTGAACTAGATCTATTTGTTTGGTATGTAAATGTAATCTAAATGTTATACAAAACTCAAAAAACATGAAATTAAGTGTAATTATATAATATCGTTCGAAATAAAAATGTATTATCAGAATGTATGTGGTATCAACACAAAAATAAATGTATTAAATATTTCTCTCCCCGTATCTAATTCTGTTTACATTTATATTTTTCCTGAAATTTGGCTTAACGAAAAACTAAGTGATACTGAGTTAAGATTTACAAACTTCATAATTTTTCTCAATAAAAATAAAAGTTTTTGCTTCTGGAGGTGGTGGCTCATTAATAGCTGTAAATAATTCAATAAATTCTATTATTTATTAAATGTGTCAATACTATCATTGGAGCAAATGTTTGTTCTTTTACGATTTAAAAACCAATTATTAACTGTTGGTTCAGATATTATTTCGCTTACTACAGATAAATTGAAGAATGTATAATATATTAATTTTATCGATGAAATCTATCGTAACAACCCAGGTTCTAATTTTTTTTTTTTTTTGATTGGCGATTTTAATTTTTCTAATGTATTGTTATATGACCTAAAATATAATATAATTTTAACTCATTTGTATGAGGCAAACTGAATCATATTTTATTAATGTCTCTTTCATGTTTACATTTCTCTCAGTTCAATATTAACTTAAATAAATGTAATAAGTTGTTTGTACATAGTTTTCCAACTTAATCTATTTAACAGTTATGGATATTGGTAGCAAACTTTTTCATAATTCTTTCCATCTAGTCCTTATTATTTTTTTAAATAAAAATACTATTAAAAATAATATATACCTCTATATATATATATATACTGTATTTAATATTATGCATTACTATGATTGGGATTTTAAGTCAAATTTATTGATAGAAAATATAATGTAATATGATTATTTAGAGTTTTTTAACACTGTGTAAGTAAAAAAAAAAATAAACATCATTATAAAATCAATGTGTAGTAGACTAAAAATGTAACGTTAAAATAAAGGAGGGCAATGAGGAAGGGCAAAAAGGAGAAGAAGGTGTGAAAAAGGAAAGGAGAGGAGTAAAAAGAAAGAGTATAAAGTTATACGGGGGTGATAGGTATAGGTATATTACTATTCGTATGTATGACGTATGTCGCGAACACCCCGCGATCTATCTATCGATATGATGATTGACGGCAGTGTTGCCACAACGCGCATTCGGTCGAATAAGACCTTGAATAGACTCACAGAGTAATATGTTGATAAAATTGGTATAATATGTCTGTAAATGTTTCTATACGTGTGTTTGCGTGATCGTTCGAATTGTATTGCAATATATGTACAAGTACCTATATTGTATCGATAAAAACACATATCTTGATTTAATATGTGCCGTATTAAGGTGGCAACACTGTTTAAGAGATGTTTTGATGGAACTGATAATTGTGCTGTGTAATCTTGATCGTTTACTATACATGTATTAAATATTCAATATATTACAAATGCATTCCTTGCTTTTGTCAGAATCTAAAATCTAGATAATGATAAAAGATTATTGGTAGAATAAGTGCCTAGATGAAGATAAACGATTCATAACAATGATATTATATAAATTACTAATTGTTTAAAATGCAAAAGGTGTGCCAGATTTGCTAGACATCCACATTTCATAAACATTATGTAACAAATTTAATGTATATACAACGTATTACAATATTAGTTTATTATACTATAATGAAATAAATGAAATACTTTACTTATTATTTTTCAATAAAAAAATTCTTAACTTTGTATCCTACATAGTACATAATATACATCTATATAATATGTGTAGTTAAAATGAAATAGTTATAAATTGTAATTATAATTTTGGATTTAAATTCAAACGTTTTTCGATTTGATTTTTTTTTTTAGTTCGATAACCGATATTGTGTTATAAGTTTATAACGTTGCCGATTTTTTCAAAAACATTTTTTTTTAATTACCTTTAATTATCTAATTTAAAACCTTTTGCATGCGATTTAATGAAAAATATACCACGCGAGTTGGATTTGATCACCGCTATTAAATTTTTACATGCGTGCAATAATTTATTATTTTTTAAAAACAGTAATATATATATATAGATAGTGATAATATGTTCTCGAATATATAACGTGTAAATATCGTGTCCATTGAAAATAATTCTCGATTATGATTTTGGATTACAATATTATTATTATTATAATCAACGATGCCATGGGATTCGGTATCTATCTATCTATAAGTTATTTTTCACCGAAATATAGATTGTATTCGAATAAAACTGCGTGTCTATCTATACACATCCATAATTTTTAATAAATAATACTATAATTTTGTTATAAAAACAATATTACTACCCATTTCGAAAAAGACGATCTACTCTTCCACACGCAGTGGAACGAATATTTTAATAGAAGAAAAAAAATTATAGAATCAGGTAAAATAAGTGAATTCAGATATTTTTAAATCAAGTAATTTATTTCTAAACTTATTTAATAGACAACATAAAATGAATATGAATACAAATATCATAAAATTATAATCTAGGGTACTTGAAAGTGGACAATAACAATATAAATCAGGAGAAAAGTTAATATCTGTTAATATGTTCAATACACAAGAATACAAAATAATATTTTAATTTAACTTGAAATGATTTTATATTAAACTAAAATACTACTCATGACAATTATTGAGATAAACTGAATATATAACAAGGGCTGGATCGGAAGATATTGAGGTCCAATGCAGTTCATTGTACGTGGCCTTTTAAAGGATTTTTCTGGAGCAGTATACGAGCTTATACACATTGATATACTCTTTTCATATTATCGCCATTGTTATTAAAAAATTGACGCACAGAGAAACTAATTGAATGCATATTAGCTAATATCAGCCAAGAATATTATTATTAGAATAATGTTCCTTATTTAATATTTTAATTGGCTTCTTGAATTTCTTCACATGAAGATATTCAATATTAATTAGGCATGCTATATAATTCACTTTTATGAATATTATAAATAACTAGCTTTCCTGTAGGGCTTTGTATGTGTACATTTTTGAATTAAAACAAATTTATTAAAAATAAAAACGCATTTTCCTGTGTTATTAATTTTTAATTCGAAGTATTTTGACCACCCTTATCTGATTTTTTTGGCATTTTAGGCAATTCAATACTAAATTATTAATTATTGATAAAAATGCTCTACCGTCAGTGTATCATAACTGTTTTTTACCACTCGTGTAGAAAAGTAACCTATACGCTAACAAGAATAATATAGTTTTTGTTTAAATATTACAGAAAATCATGAATAAACCACCTTATAGAAGCTAAATTTTGGAATAAAAATAAGTCTATTACTCAAAGATAGTATAGCTTTCTATTACTGAAAGAATTTTTAAAATTAGTTCAGTAATTTCAAAGATTACCCCTTACAAATAGCATCACTTTATAATAATATTAATCAATATATTAATAGATAATAATCTATTATTAATCTGATATTAATCTGTATATTTACCTATTGCTGTAGGGAATATGTAAATTAACTATACAAAAATCTTTTCTTAAATGCATCACTATATAATAAATATACACGAGGAATAATAAAAATAATAATTACAGTGTGTGAATTAAAGAGTCACCTCCAGGCCGGAAAAAAAAAAAAAATTTTTTTCTCGAAATTATTTTCTCAGGTATTGTAAATTACACTATCAGCGACCATACAACTCGCGTAACATGTTATTATTTTCAATACCGAAATAAATTCCAAACGATTTAGTTTTAAAATAATTTTGCGGGAATTTGCATTTAAAAAAATGTGCACCTTCATAATTTGTCGGATGTGGACACGTGGAATTTAAAACATAGCTATACAATAGACCACGCGTGGAGTTTAACTGCCGTGCGTACACCGACGGCATTATGCAATTTGGCAGGAGAAACACAATATTGTTATTATAATAATTATAAAAACCGTGTAGCATGACAAATACAATTATAGAATTCTCGATTAAGGAGCTTTGTCACTGGTATATTTTTTCTTCTCTTTCTGTCTGTATCGCGAGTAATATAGCGATGGAGGCACATTCCGCATTTTACGGTTGTGAATTATTAATGTTTAAAATTCAGTGAAAATTACAATTCAAATAAAAATATTCAAAAATGCATTCGGAGGGTTTATAATAAATACTATATTTCATAAAATATATAATGTACCACTTTGTACAAAACTCAACCGGACGGTCGTAATTGGGGAAACGTAGAATGAATTTGATGAATATCTCGTTATTTCGGTAACCAGATACATTGGCGAAAGGATTCTACAACGAATGGATATTTATTGGCAAATAGATGGTTCGTAGAAGATACGATGAGAAAAATTAATTATTATTTTTTATTCATCAAAAAAGAATTTGAGAACACGAAATCAAGTTCGAATATTTTTTTTTTAACGTTTAGTCTTGGAAATGAGTTAATAAACATACATAGGTAGATAATGATTTCAATTTATTCTAGAAAAAAACCAGTGAACCTATCATAATATAACTGTAGAGTATCTTTTTTCTAATATGGATTAAGGTGGCATACAGACATTGCAATCCGGTTAGACAATATTGTTTGAAAATTATTTCTAAAATCACATTTAGCTTGTGGCCAAAATCAAGTGCCGTTTTACCGGCCAAAATTTGCATATTATTTTTATTTTATTTTTTTTACAATATATGAAATTACCATAAAAAACATTTTTTAATTGCAAACACGCGTTTAGTATTTGTCTTCCAGTGATATTTTAATTCTTAACAAGTAGGTTACAATATTACTGTAGGATATGTTTTGTTGTAATCAAAAAATATGGTTCAGCCTAATTATATAAAATTGATTCACACGTGTAAGTTAATTATAAATTTGATTACCTTTCTTCTTCAGGCGGCAATCGATCTGTTGAATCTGATAAAGGTGACCGAAGTAAATAAAAAGATTTTAATGAACTTATTGTTTTTTTTTTTTATTAATTTTTTAATCATAAAACACTGTTCTAGATTCCCGTGCTTTTGTAAGAATCTCTGCGTAGTCTTTACACTCGCTTGTGATCAACTGTCCAAAAGCAACGGGAACAATAGACGCACTGAGCGTGATAAGTGGCCGGCCTCCTTATAACTGGAGACCTATGTGTGTGTGCGTGTGTAAATCTGTTATCTTAATCTGGTTAATACTAACAACTTAATCTAATACTTAATGGCTATAAATTATTATAATTATTTCACAACATTGATTATACATTTTATTTTAACTATATATGATAGCTTACGAGGTGTCGCTATTAAATAACGAGATTGCTCGCTTAGAGGGCGCCCTAGATGGGTAGTGAAAAAAACGAGTAATGCGTTGGGTATCTAGATATCTTATCTATGCACGTACCAAAATACGTTTTCGTCACTATTATAGTATTTGTGCAGTAGTGGTTTGAAACGAACGTGTTTTTTTCTCGTGCCAAAAACCATGTGTGACGAAAAACAGGAGCAACGTATCAATCTCAAATTTCTCGTTAAATTGAAAAAAAATCCGACCGAGTGCTATAAATTGTTGCAAGAGGCCTATGGAGGCAATTCTCTATCTCGTGCACGTGTTTTTGAGTGGTATAAACGCTTCAGTGGGGGCCGAGAGATCACTGAAGATGACCAGCGCCCAGGTCGCCCTGTCACTGTTTCAACTCCGGAAACAGTGACCAAAATCAACAAAATTGTGCGTGCAGATCGTCGAATGAGCATCTGGATGATTGCCGAGGCTGTAAATACCGATAAAGAAACGGTTAGAAAAATTTTACATGAGGAATTACATATGACAAAAGTCTGTGCGAAGTCAGTGCCAAAAAACCTGACTCCTGACCAAAAGTTCTTGCGTCAACAGGTCTGCTCAGATTTCCTTGAAAAGTTAAAAGAAGATCCCGGACTGATGAAAAACATTATAACTTGCGACGAAACATGGATTTTTCAATACGATGTTGAAACAAAGCGATAATCAATGCATTGGAAGACACCTGAATCGCCCAGAATCAAAAAAGCAAGGATGTCCAAATCAAAATTTAAGGCAATGTTGATCGTTTTTTTTGACATTAACGGTATCGTGATGACTGAATGGGTTCCAGAGGGTCAGACTGTCAACCAGATTTACTATTTATCAGTTTTGGCAACACTGCGAGAAAGAGTTCGTAAGAAGCGGCCCGAGTTGTGGAAGAACAACTCGTGGATTTTGCACCAGGACAACGTACCTGCCCATAACGCGCTATATGTGAAGCAGTATTTGGCCGGTAAGCGCACTCCAGTGCTCGAACACGCGCCGTACTCGCCAGATTTGGCACCGTGCGACTTTTTTTTGTTTCCAAAGATAAAATCTGCTTTGAAAGGGACCCGATTTGAGTCGATGGAAGCGGTTAAGCAAAAAACGGCAGAGCTCCTAAAGGCCCTCACTAAAGAAGACTTCCAGCACTGCTTTGATCAATGGAAAAAACGTATAGAAAAGTGTATGGCGAGGGGAGGGGAGTATATTGAAGGGGAGCATTTGAATGTAGAATAATTTTTATTATAAAACACTTTTTCGCAATCAGTCCCGTTATTTAATAGCCACATCTCGTAAATAGCATATCCTTACGATGAGTAGATATCGCTTTAAAGTATATGTTATTTGACAAAAAAAATATGGAATTGAATGTATATGTTTAATTTTCGTTCCTGTTATTAATTGTTTGATTTATCTCTTACATTACATAATATTTTATTTGACATTATGTATGATAGCTTAAATAGCATATCATTACAGTTTTTAAAATCGATTTTGTGTAATATAATATAATATCATCTATCTTTACAGTAGACGTATCAAAAAAGATAAATTATATATTTATTTAATTTAATATGAATTACACGTGCATTTTACATCGACATTGAATATATATTTTACGTAGAGTTTCTTATCTCATTTAAATAAAAATAAATCAATGTATTTGAGATAAAAATGTATATCCTATAATAGTAAATAATGGAATTGATTTAATATTTAGGTATTTCTATTGATCGTAATAAAAACCTACGTGTAATATATTACTATAAACCTCTTCATGTTTCGACTATTTTCCAATTAAGTTGATTTCGACCGGTATTCAATTTGTATGAATGGAAATCTCATTTGGCTTACCTTTTTTGATTTTAAAACATCTTATGTTCCATCCAGCCAATATTTACTGAAGATTTTAGATTCTGGGTTTAGCGAAGAATGTATTGGTCTTACAAAGATGTTTATTACTTTTTTTTTATGTTAACACTTTTTATATGAAAAACGATTCGAAGCAAAGTTAAGTTTTGTATGATTTGAAAGGCTGACGGTCGTAATATTTAGGATTTTCGTCAAAGTTTGATGTTAAAACTCTTAACACTTAACTTTTTTTTTGATCACTTAATACAAGTATAATTTTTGATAAACTTCTTATTAAATTGTCAAGAATTTCTGTTTGTTTATACAATTTTATTCATAGATTATCAAATACCGACTACCTACCAATTAAAAATTATGTAAAAACTCGCAAAATAAAAATGTATTTTAAGCTTTAAAACTTGTGTTAGTTATTACAACTTTTTCTAACATTTATTTTGGCAAATTGTAAATATTATGAATAGATTAATTGAAATAAATTCCTGTATTATATGGTAATTATTGTTTTAGTTTTTATTATTCAATTTATTGATATTAGGTACTTCATTTTTAATAAAGTTTAATTATGAATTGCATCCAAACATTGTTATCTAATACTTCGATTTTGATTCTACTCCCATTTACTTTGAGAAAACTTGCATCTTAACAATAATAACTATTACCTACACTATGATTTATCATCTTTAACTTAAACAGTACCTATTGCATCGTGGTGTGTGACTATTTTATTTGTTGGTGTCATAATATACTGTTGATTGTAAATAATATAATATTTGTAAATGTTTTGCATACGTGAAATGTTTTAAGTTTGTCAATGCCGTGTAGTCAAAGTTTGTAGTTTGTAAATGCTGTTATTGTTAAATTGTTATCAATTTTTAATTTAATTTTTGTTTTGTTATTTTTTTTTTAACTTTAAAACTTGTATTTGAAATGTCGATTTTTTAGTACTTTAAAAAACTTTTTTAAAGGAAATTCGATAAAAGTACGGGGACTCTTTGCTTTATTGCCAGACGAGACGGTCATACTTTTATTAAGTTTAGTTGATGTAGACATGTTTTTAAATTGTAGACTTGTTTGCAAAAGATCAAGAGCGCTAAGTGACACGTATATTTTTCAAGACAAAGCATCACAAGAAAACGAATTTGTAAATAACGGTAAAGGGTATTACAGTTTCTCTAAAATTGATTCAGATATCGTTCGAAGATTAGATTTTCCATGATGTATGTTTTACGCAATATGTAAGAATGATCTATTTAATAGAAATTTGGTGCAAAATAATTGTGGACAAAGTGAGTAAAATATAATATTTTATGTACTAGAACTTCGGAGACAAATAGTAGATAGTTATGATTTAAAAAAGATACTATGCCACGTGTCGTCTAAATAGACCAAAGTTTGTATTATGTTATCATGCCTTATATATATGTACTGCTTTTGTTTTACAAATTAATGATGTAGGTAGCAAATTAGAGTTCGGCAGAATTAATTTTTATGATTTCAATTTTAATATTAGGTCGAAATGATCTGTTATTAAATTTAAAAGTAAGCCAATTTTTAAATTAAAGGAATTTTTAAATTGTAATAGTTAAAATACTTGTAACTAGCTTTAAAATAAAAATACAAAAAAATCAAGGTACACTTTATTGTAAGACGGAGTGTGCTGTATCCGTAGTTATTATGATATCCTATTAATAATGATGAAATATTTTTGTAAATCTGTATTTTATTTTAGGTTTCAATGTTGTTGAACCAAAGTAGCGCATAGTCTGTTGAGGTGTCTTATTTTGGCTTTATGCGTTGTACATTTAATAGTTTTAGAATATCTGGCACTGCAGTTTAAGTCATGTTGCCTATAAAATTATGATTTAATCAAAATTGAATCAAGTCAATATCAAAGTTAAAATAAATTATACATTTATCAATTATTTTTTAATTTAATATTCAAATTATATCTATTCGAATCTCGTAATAAAATTAAATAAATAACAAATTCGTAATCCATGAAACTTGTTACATAAATATAAATATAATTTTAAACTAAATTTTAGTTCCTTCACTCTTATTTTAATTTTGAGCATATTTGTCGTCTGTTGTAATTATATATAAAGTTATAATAAATCAAATTTTATTCATTTCAGCTTTAAATTAACTGAGATATAGCGATTTAAATTTATTCGAATACATTAATTATCGATTGCATACTATTTTTCATAATATTAACCAAAATTGTGATAGGAATAAAGTAAATAACTTGCATGCTATTATTCTCTATACCATTTATCATACTTTATCGGGCATTTTAAACTTACTCTTATTAAGATTAAACTAGCAATTAAAACTAGAATTAATTAAACTAGAATTGAAATTGCATTTTAATATATACTTATGAAAATATCAAATAAATTTAAATTATGACAACCCAAACTATTCTAAACTTAAGGTAATTTGACTATTGAAATTCATAAAAAGAAGATGAAAAAAAAGACGTCCTAGGATAATGAAGATGGGTGAAACCAATAATATAGGTAACTTAATGTATACCTGTAATCAACGATAAACCACTGCTTACAAAAAATCGATTCTGAACGGAGTTCAGTGCATAGTGATGCTTCGTCAACAATATTTATACCATATTATAGTAAAATAATTAAATAGACCCTATATTTTCTTTAATAGTATTTGTTTAATATTGTACCAATTTCATCGGTTTTCCCATGTTATCCCACTTTTTTAAATTTTCTGAGAAAGCTCTGGAGAAAATTGAAAAATAATCTCTTTAAAGTACCTCCCAAGTGAAATTTACTTTTAAAAAAATTGCTATCATTATAAGTTGGATCAAAATTTCTAGTAAAAATATTGTCCATAGGAAAAAAGTATGCCATAATATTAATAGCTAATAACTACATTTCTTATATTTTCCTGTTTTTTTTTAGTTTTTCACATTTGTTGAGAAAACTTCAGAGAAAATCAGTAAACGATCTTTCAATCGCAATAAACAGTAAAACATGTTTTAGTGCGTGAAAATGTATATTACTTAGTATAACTATACTATATTTAGAAACAAAATAATTCAAATTTCATGGATCTGTACAGGGATATTGAGTGTTTCAAATTAGTTTTTCCACTTTGTATACGTAAACTATAACAATTAAAAATAAAATAAAAAATTATCACTCGAAATATTTAAAACTATATAATTATACTATGTTCTTCTCTAGGTACCTACATTTAGAATTTAAAATACTATTGATTTGCGTAATATTATTGCACGTGATCTGATTAGTTTTCGTCCTACAATTGTTTGGAAATATTTGAATTATTTCAGTTTTGCAAAATTTAACCGTATCGTTGTAGCCGTTGTAATATTGTTATTTCACTGCTGATCGTTCGATTCACTATAATAATACAATGAAGTTATAAATATTTATTATGGTTTCGAAATTAATATATTATTATAATATTGAGTAATTTGCCCGCCATAGAAAACTACAAAATATATTTTGGTGAATAAAACAAATGGTTACACTCCTTATATGCATAGTATCCTATAGTATTTTATGAAATATTTTAATAATAAAAATTACATTGAGCTTCGTTAATCGAGCCATATTTTCTCATGCTTTTTTTTTTATTGTAAAAATATTTTTTGTTATATAACAAATAACTGAATACTATAATACTAATGTAGGGGGGCACAGTGAAAACTAATAAGTCATTTTTTAACCAATTTATTAATTATACCATAAATTATGTAAATTAGTATTAAAACCTAATTTTTTTCAATGATTCTTCCATCTAGAAATCTTGATGAGATAACTCTTATTTGGTTCAGAGAGTTGCTAAAAGTATCTTAAAGTAACGGGGAAAAAAAACCAATAAATAACATAGATATTTAATATAACAGACTGTTATGTGGTTACCTTTGACTATACTTTCGGGACATAGTCGACAATATTACATTATATAATACCTATGATTGTCGAATTAAACATCAAATATAATATCGCGAAAAACAAAAATGAAGTAGGTAATTCGATTGCGTGATGGTTTTTTTTTTGTCATGTCGTGCGCGAAACGTGGATAAAACAAAATACAAAAATGATAATAATGCAAAAATATGGTCTATTGCCGGCAAAAGTTGAACACGCCAAGGTGGCGATTGTAGTTGGTGATAAAAAAATGTCAATATTTCCTATATTATATTATATTATATTATTTTGAGCGATAATAACAATATTACCTAGTATTGTAGCTTTATTTTGCAAAATCGGAGGTGCACAATACAACAATGTAACATAATCAAGACCACTGATAATGGAGTTTAAATTACACCTATACCGGTTTATATTGTAAGTGTATAGCGAATAAGAATCTATACTAGTTTTACTAAAATGAGGTTTTATTTTTTTGTATAAAATCCCTTTTCAGTTAGGAGTAAAAATATTTTATATTGTTTATGACACCGTACCTAATATTATGAATATGCTTTTTGCGTTAGGTAATGTTGTTTTAACACATTTTCTTTGAACACAATTAGAAAAAAAAAATAAAAATAATAACAACAAGAGTCAATACATCGTTTTTATTTTCATTGATTTCTGGATAATTTGATTGGCTACGAAGAGAAAAGAAGGTTGAAAAGAAACATGACCAATGCTTTATAATAAATAAAGACCGGATTTAATTGCATTTAAAACACACAAAAATTGTGTATTAAAATTATATAATTGCACCAAAATATATGCAAAAATTTCATAATAAATAGCACTATAAAAAGGCAAGTCATATAAATAAATTAGATGAATGTTACATTTTTAAATTAAACTTGATAATTAGATACATTTCTAAATTCTTTTCATTAAAATTAAATCTTCTTAAAATATGTTTGTACAAATAAAAACTAAGTTCTACGTCTACACTAGTTATTGGCGCATATTTAAAACAATTTAATTAAGTAAGCCTTATATCTAAATTAACATTTGCTTTAACTGACATGATTTCATAGTAAGACTTTAAAATTGTATGCCCTTCATTTTTTTCAATTTCATACATACATTGTTCTTAAATTTTTTTTCCCATTTGGACCAGAAATATTTTTATAAATATCTTCAATTTTTCTAAAAATATTAGTAATCTTACATTGTTGGTTTATTAATGCTCTATATAAAACACCAATAAGTAGGCGTGGTGGTATTTTCGGTATACCGGTAAGTCACTGTTATTTAAAAATACCGTTGTGTTGAAATACTTGTATATCGTTGTTTTGATAAATACCGACTTTTCGATAACTACTGACAGTCCGACAAGCTCAAAATATATTTAAATACACGTTAAAATGCTAAAATAATTGCTAAAAAACGTGTCCACAGACTAGAACAAAGAAAAAAAGAAAAGAAAAAGAGCTTAAACTGGGAACGGGAGCATCCACTGTAGTAGTTGAGAAGTTAGGAAGGTAGAATACATAAGGTTATTTTATGTATATCTGTAAGAAACGATAAACCATTGCTTGACGAAAGACGATTCCAAGTGCAGTTTGGTAATATATAATTTGAAGTGCTGTATTTTTTTTTGTGATTTTCATTTAAAACTAATTTCAAAACGCTTATTACAAAAAAAAAGTAATCCAATGATTTTGGAAATTTGTCCACGTCTATCTAAGTCCAATATAAGTATTAGTACCAATTTTCAAGTCTTTACATGTATTTATAACCGAATTACAGCCAAAAATTTTCCAAAAATTAAAATTCCTTAAAAGCTCAAAATTGGCTCAAAAGTTTTGACGATGCTACCATTATAAAATAAATCAAAAAGGTGTCTTGTGATTTTTCATTTAAACCATTTTTTCTGGTAGAAAACTTCGTCTGTGTTTTTATAAAATATTAAAATCGTGAAATTGTACGTTTTCTTAAGTTTTTTCTTACTTAGTGCTTGAAACTAAGAATTTGAAACCGCGGGCGAAAAGAGTTTATTTAATTCGGACAAAAAGAGAAAACCAGTTTATCATATTTGGGTATAATAATATTTTATATTATTATTATTATACTAAAATTCGTCGACGGAAACAGATATTTCGAATAACTCCGTTTATATTATTTTATTATCCAATTTAAATAGTTTTTAGTTGAATTGTTTTTTTTTTTAGATTTGAAGCATAGCGAGTAGTGTATTAGTTTTACAATTATGCTTTTTTTCTCTTTTAAACTGTGTTCACCATTTTTA